GGTAAGCTTAGAGTTAAAAGTCAAGAAATAGGCTAGAAAAAATGAGTAAACAGCAGGAAAAGATCTTGACTATAAAAAGTTACTGTGGTGACAGGGAAGTTCAAGACACAAACTCAAAACTGCTACATCCAAAGCCTCTAAGAAAAATATGAATTCATCTTAATCCATGGAAGAGCTCAAAAAAGGATTTTAAAAATCAAGTAAGAGAATTAGAGGAAAAACTGGGAAGAGAAATGAGAGTGATGCAAGGAAGTGAACAAAAGTCAACACCTTCATAAAGGAGACACAAAAAATACTGAAGAAAATAACCCCTTAAAAAACAGACAGAATAGGCCAAATGGTAAAAGAGGCACAAAAATCCAGTGAAGAAAAGAATGCTTTGAAAATCAGAATTAATCAAATTGAAAAAAGAGGTACAAAAATCCAATGAAGAAAAGAACTCATTACAAAGGAGAATTGGCCAAATGGAAAAGGAGGTACAAAAGCTCACTGAAGAACATAATTCCTTAAAAATTAGAATTGGACAGGTGGAAGCTAATGACTCCATGAGACATCAAAAAAAAAAATAAAACAAAATCAATGAATTAAAAAAATTGGGGCAGCTAGGTGGCGCAGTGGATAGAGTGCTGGCCCTGGATTCAGGGGGGACCTGAGTTCAAATCTGGCCTCAGACACATAGCACTTACTAGCTGTGTGACCCTGGGCAAGTCACTTTATCCCATGCCTAGCCCCCCCCCCCCCAAAAAAGATAGAAGAAAATGTGAAACATCTCATTGGATAAATAACTGACCTGGAAAATAAATCCAGTAGAGATAATTTAAGAATTATTAGACTTCCTGAAAGCCATTATCCAAAAAAGAGCTTAGATGTCATCTTTCAAGAAATTATCAAGGAAAACAGTCCTGATATTCTAGAACCAAAGGATAAAATGGAAATTAAAAGAATCCACTGATTACCTCCTGAAAGAAATCCCCAGTTGAAAGCTCCTAGGAATATTATAGCCAAACTCTAGAGTTCCCAAGTCAAGGAGAAAATATTGCAAGCAGCCAAAAAGAAACAATTCAGATATGTGGAGCCACAGTCAGAAAAACACAAGACTTAGCAGTTTCAGATATGATAGTTTAGAATATGATATTGGAGTGGAAAGAGCTGGGATTTCAACCAAGAATCACCTGCTCAGCAAAACTGAGAATAGTCCTTCAAGGGAAAAAAATTGATATTAAATGAAATAGAGGACTCTCAAGCATTCTTGATGAAAAGACCAAAGCTGAATAGAAAATTTGACTTTCAAATATAAGACACAAGAGAAGGATAAAAAGATAAACAGGAAAGAAACCATAAGGGATTCAATGAGATTGAACTGTTTATATTCCTGCGGGAAAATGATACTTGTATCTCCTAAACGCATTCTCCTTATTAGATCAGTTAGGAGTCTGCATAGACAGAGGGCAAGAGTGTGAGTTAAATATGATAGGATGATAATCTAAAACAAAAAAATAAAATTAAGGGGTGAAAAAAGAGGAATGCAGTGGGAGAAGGGGAAAGGGAGAGGATAAAATGGGGTAAATTATTTAACAAAAAAGAGGTGTGAAACAGATTTTACAGTAGATTGTAAGATGGTGGAGGCAGGGGAGAGGGAGTGTGTGAACCTTACTCTCGTCAGAATCGGCTCAGCGGGGGAATAGCATACATATTCAGTTGGGTATAGAAATCTATCTTACCGTAGGGAAAGGGGATGAAGGCAGGGGGGAAGGGGAGCTGTGTGTAGGCTAATAGAAAGCAATGGGGGAGGTAGAAGTAAGAAGCAAAACACCTGAGAACAGACATGGTGAAATGAGAGAGAGTAGGATAAACAGGAGGGGGAAATAGAATGGAGGAAAAATACGTAGTAATCATAACTGTGAAAAAATTTCATAGCAGGTTTCTCTGATAAAGACCTCATTTCTGACCACTTCCTTTTTCACTTATTTTTATTTTTATCTTTATTTATTTATTTTTTGGTTAGGCAATGTGGTTAAGTGACTTGCCCAGAGTCACACAGCTAGTAAGTGTTATGTGTCTGAGGCCAGATTTGAACTCAGGTCCTCCTGAATACAGGGCCGGTGCTCTATCCACTGTGCCACCTAGCTGCCCCTAAAGACCTCATTTCTCAAATACACAGAGAACTGAATCGAATTTATAGTAATAAGAACCATTCCTCAACTGATAAATGGTCAAAGGCTATGAGCAAGCAATTTTCAGACAAAGTAATAAAAGCGATCTGTAGTCATATGAAAAATGCTCTAAATCACTATTGATTAGAGAAATACAAATTAAAACAACTCTGAGCTACCACCCCATACCTATCAGATTGGCTAATATGAAAAGGAAAATGACAGATATTGGAGGGATGTGGGAAAATTGAGACACTAATATACTGTTGGTGAAGTTGTATACTGATTCAACAATTCTGTAGATCAATTTGGAACTACGCCCAAAGTGCTATAAAACCATGCATACCTACCCTTTGATTGAGCAATACCACTAGTAGGTCTGTATCCCAAAGAGATAAAAAACAAAAAGGAAAATGACATATTTGCACAAAAACATAGCAGTTTTTTTTAGTGATGTCAACGGATTGGTAATTGAAGGGATGTTCATCAGTTGGGGAATGGCTGAACAAGTTGTTGTATATAATTGTGATGGAATACTATTGTGCTATAAGAAATGATGAACAGGATGCTCTCAGAAAAAACTGGAAAGACGTAGCTGAACTGCTGCAAAGTGAAATGAGCAGAACCAGGAGAACATTATATACAGTAACAACAATATTATGTGACAATCAACTGTGATAGACTTAGCTTTTCTCAGAAATACAGTGATCCAAGACAGTTCTAAAGGACTTTTGATAAAAAGTGTTACCCATCTCCAGAGAAAGAACTGATGGGGTATGAATGTAGTTCGAATCGTACCTTTTCTTTATTTTTCTTGTTTTACTCTTTTGTCTGTATTTTTCTTGACATCATGACTAACTTGAAAATATGATTTGCTGTATCAGATTGCTTGCCTTTTTAATGAGGAGAGAGTGGAGGAATTTAGGGAGGGAGAGAATTTGGAACTCAAAATTAAAAAAACAATGTTAAAAATTGTTTTCACATGTAATTGGAAGAAAAATTAAATATTAATTTTTTAAAAACATATGTGAAACATGACAATGCTAAAACAATGTCAGAATTTCTGAGTTGAAGCTAAAAGAGCCCTATGAGGAAAAGTAGTATCTGTTTACAAACATGTATTAACAAAATAGCACATAATGACTTGAATATATATTGAAAAAACTAGCAACTTAACTAGCCTAAAAAAAGCACAAAAAGAGAGAGAGAGAGATTGGAAATTAGGGGAGAAGCAGATAAACTGGAAATAAATACTTCAGAAGCTATTAACAAAATTGAAAGCTGGTTCCTTGAAAATACTAACAAGATTGATAAATCTTTAATAAATTTGATTAAAAAGAAGAGGACAGAAACACAAATCACCAAAATAGCAAATGAACATGGTAAAGTTACAAGAAAACCATAAGAAATAAAAAATTATCAGAACCTGCTATGCAGTTATATGTTAACAAAACTGAGAACATAAAAGAAATGTTACCTTCAAAAGTACTTGAAATGGACGCTTGATACTTATTAGCTGTGTGACCCTGGGCAAGTCACTTAACCCAGATTGTCTCACCAAAAAGCAAAACAAAGCAAAACAAAAAATACTTGAACAGAAGATCAAATGGGGATCTTAAATAATTCAGTATCTGAAAAGGAAATAGAACGGACTGTTGTAAAGGAACTACCAGAAAACAATCTCCTGGACCTGATGGATTGATTCATAGGACAATTGTATCAAACTCTTAAAAAAAAACGAACTAATACATTGGTATTCCAATTATTCTCAAAAAGTTGAGAAAGAGAGCACTATACCTAACTCCTTTTTAAGAGGCAAATATTGTTCTAATACCTAAGCTAAGGAAGGATAAAGCAAAGGAAAACTGTCGTGGATATCATTAATCAATATTGATTCAAAACTAACAAAACAGTAATTTAAGAAATCATTCATTATGATCAAGTTGGATTTATATTGAGCATTCAAGGATGGTTCAACATCAGGAAAAAAATTAGCATAATGGATCATATTTAAAACAAGTAAAGCAACTTTTAAAAAATTTCACAAATGAATGAATGACTAAAAAAGCAATTATTAAGTACTTACCGTGTGCCAAACATTGTGCTAAGTGCTGGGGATACAAACAGAAAAGACTAATCAGTTCCTTCTCTGCAACTGCTTACCCTCTAACAACATCTGAAGGGGAGATGACATATGAAAAAGTCCAACTATGTTAGAAAGTCCTTGAAGTTCTATAAGTTGCAATAGCGGGGGTTGCAAGCTTATGGAAACCATTTGTTTCTCATGAAGGAGAATTCACCTTGATATATGTGTGACTTTTTTAGAAGTAATCATAGTGTTTTGTGAAGGGCATAACTTTTTCTATAATAACAATATAGCAGTAATAAATCACATTTATGTAGTTGTTTAAGGTTTATGAAACACTTTCCCAACAATAGCTCTGTGAGTAGAAAAACTATTTTATCCTCCTTTTACAAAACTGAGTCTCTGAAATTTTGAGCGACCTCACAGAATCAGCTTTAGAGCTGTAAGAGGATGTTGAAGTCATCCAGTCCAATAATGGTCCAGTAAGGAGGGTCACAAAACTCGTGCTTGTCTCAGACAAAATTGAAACCTAGGTCTCCTGACTTCAAGTTTTTCTACTATGTAGTATGCTGCTTCTTGGGAAAAAAAAAACAAAGAGTGATCTTCCAAGCTAATAACAACATGAGAGGGAATAATGGTAGAATAACATGTATATGTTTGCACATATAAAGAATTTTAACATTAGAAGAGACTTTAGAAATCACCTAGTCTAACTCTATTGAAATACCCAGTATTTCCTGCTTGTTTCTCTCTTTTTATAGAACATGTATTGAGTCATCTGGAACAAATCAAAGGCATGCCTCCAGCCAGCCATAATGAAATAGCTCCAGATAAAGAAATAGAGGTACTTCCTAAGGATACACCTGTTGTTTCTGAAAGTGGCAGTGCCAACAGAGAACCAAAGAAAAAGCCCCGAAGAGGTAATAAAAACAAAACTTCAAAAGGTGAACAACCTCTTGTCATCATTGAAGAGAAGGAACCAGCGGGTGAGTGGCACTGATCCCTAGGAAATGGCTGCCAATTTGATCATTGGTAGAGTCTCATTTCTTGGGATCAGAGACCTTAAAGATGAAAAGAACTTCAGAGAAAGAATTTAATCCGTGCTTTCATTTGACAGATAAAAACAAACAAACAAACAACTGAGGTCCTTAGTGATGTATATAAGGCAGTATTTTTAAAAAGATTATTCTGGCATTGTTGTATAGGGTGATCAGAGTGGATAAAGACTGGAGTCTTGAGATCATTGCAAAAGTGCAGGTGATGGAGCAGCTAGATAGCACAATGAATAGAGCACCAGCTCTGGAATCAGGAGGACCTGAGTTCAAATGTGGCCTCAGACACATAATACTCACTAGCTGTGTGACTCTGGGCAAGTCACTTAACCCCAATTGCCTCACTCAAAAAAAAAAAAGCACAGGTGATAATAACAAACAACACATTTCTTCTATAAGTTTGTCTTACAAAGCACGTTCTTTATAGCAGTACTGTGTAGCAAGTAGTAGAAGTATTATGGTTATTTTACAAAGAAGAAAACTGAGGTTTGGAGACTTTTAAATGACTGGTTAATAGTCTTGCTCTTGCAGCTGTCAGAGCCAGGGTTCGAACTACAAAAATCTCTGCTGACACCAAATCCAGGATTCTTCCCACTGGCATTTCAGCTTCCTATATGTGAGGTGATTAGAGCCAAGAAAATATGTATCTTAATGGTGTCTAATAAAATTAGATTTTATTGTTCATCTTATGGTTTTGAAATCTCTTAAAATGAGACCAGTGGCCTTCTGTTTACCAAATTCAAGCTCAACAGCCTAATTAGATTATTTTTTTTCTACATAAATTCCACAGTTTCTGAAACTTTCCACCAAAGCTTTTTCTAGCATATTCAACCAATGTGCTTCTTAGGAGTTGATTTTCCAGCTTGCACATTACCTAATCCTCTGGCTTCTTCTTTGTGTAGCCTGTTATGTGATGGTACTCTTTCATGTATCAGAAAAGAAGATGAGTATAAAGAAAGAGAAACATAATAAAATTTACTTTTCACAAAATCTCTGATACTGTGGTTCTATGAGTCTATAACATTTAATGATTTTCCTAATGTTAACTTGGGGAGAAGATCAAAACTAGTATCTACAATAAGGTTTGAAAGTTATATTATCTATTCCAGTTTCTATTACCATATATTTCCTAATTTTGAACATTTTTAAAACATCAAAACTACTTAGCTACAGATTTTTATTAATCATCTTTATACACATTTAGGTATATGTAAAACTCAAAGATTTTACTGGAATATACATTTGAAATTATTTTTGGTAGCTTTGAGAAGAAAGATTTGGAATATTTCAACCTTTAAAAAACACATTCATTGTAATTTATGTACCTAAGGTCATAATGAATTATGGCACTTATGAAAAAAATAATTTCTTGGTGTTTTGGTTTTATTCTTAAGGATTTAAAATGTAATTTACCTTTATGGCAGCTTGGTATGGTGAAAGAACACTGAATTTGAAGTTAGAAGGCCTAAATTTATAAGGACCTGAGATATTAGGATCATGATCATGGAAAATTCACAAGACTCTCAGAGTTCCAATTTATTCATATTTAAAAATATATATAATAATTATATTATTTATAAAGTTGTTATAAGGAAAAGACTTTCTAAGCTTTAAAAAAGCACTAGATAAATGTGAGCTACTCTGATTCATTATGATCACCATAAACACATAACCATTTTGAAGGCAAGAACTTAATTTTGCTTTCTTGCATTTCATACTATCAGGATTCTGCAAGATGACTAATTTGACCTTGAGTGTTTCGTTTTGTTTTGTTTTAATCCAGACTTACTCTAATTATCACATGATTTTAGTGTGCTTTTTATAAACATTTCTTAGTTTGTTTCAAATATTTTGCCAAATAAATTGTGTTATTTTTACAAATTATTTGGGTTTTTTTTGTTTTTTATGTATATTATGTAAGTATATATAATTTATATTTCTCTCCCCCTCCTCCCCCCATCAGTGGATCAAGTGGCAGAAATTATAACAGAAATCCCACCTGATGAAGACCTTAACTCAACTACAGATGAGCGGATTATGGAGCTCGTTTTAGGAAAGCTGCCCAGTACTACAAAAGATATCAGTTCAGTTCCAAAGTAAGTCATTAGTTAAACTTTTTGTTCTACCATTGCTGACAGAATAAGATGCCTAATAAGAAGTATTGGAATTCCTTTTATTAGATAGGAGGCACTCTTCAAAATGACTTGATGAAAATGGGCCACTTTTATTTAATATTATGGAGGGTTAAATCATGCATTGTTTGACATGTTACAAACATGCTGAAGTCTCCCTATACAACAAAACCCTTCTTTTGGCCCTTTTATTACTCAGACTATGATTCTATCTCTTTGCCTTTAATTGTCAAAGTTCTTGAAAAAATATTCTGCATTACTTGCCTTTATCTCACCAGTCCTTTTTTCTTCAACCTCTTACATTTTTTTTTAACCTCTTACATTCTTGTTTCTGTCCCTCTCACATTCTTGAAACTGCCCTTTTTTAAGTAACCACTGACTTTCTCCTTGACAAATTCAATGGCCTTTTCATAGTTCACATTCTCTTTAACTTTCCTATACCATTTTACATTGTTGATCACTTTCTTCCTCTTGATATATTCTGTATGTCCTTTGTGAGACTACATTCTTATGGCTCTCTTTCTACTTCTCTGAGTATTTCTTCTTCATCCCATCTGCCTCCTTCTCTTCCTTCTTTTGCCCTCTCTATATGTAAATATTTGCAAAAGTTTACCTCTGTTCCTTCAATATATTTCCTTCTTGGTGATCTCATCATCTTAGAATTCAGTTAGTTGCAGGAACCTCAAAGGTCATCTTGTCCAAACTGTACCTAAACAATAATATTTTCCATAATAACAAATCCTCAGTTTGGTGCCTTACAATAATGAGAATTAATTACCTCTCAACTCAGATCACTCCACTTTGGGACAACAACTCTTAATTGTTAGGAAGTTTTTCCCTTACATTTCCTAATCTGTCTTTCTGCTACTTCTTCTTGTTCCTACTCCTGTCCCTTGGGGCCACAAAAAACAATTTCATTCCCTCTTTAATTAGACATTTCTCCAAATAACTGATGACTGTTATCACATTTTTCCTACCTCCTTCTTAAGCTACCTTCTCTCCTTCTGAGTAAATATCCCAAGGTCTTCCATCTAATTCTCATATATCAGGCTTCCCTTGTCCTCTCCCCATCTTAGTTTCTAGCCTCTGAACACATTCCAGTTTGTTGGTTTCTCTTAAACAAACATTAGAACTCAGAACTGAGCCGGGTATCTGATGACTGATCTAAGCAAAGCTTAGGACATAGAAGTTGCAGCATGAAACAGTTGAAAGAACACTGGATGAGAGTCCAGAAAACCTGGGTTCCAGTACCACTTCTGTTATGACTTTTATCATTCCGGACAAAATTACTTTATATTTCTAATACTCAGATTCCTTATTTGTAGAATGAGGGAATTGAACTCGATAGCCTCCAAAGTCTCTTTGAGCTCTAAATCTATACTTCTCCAGTCATATGTTAATTGTTTTCCTCATTCTGAATGCTGCACTTCTATTAATTCTGCCTAAGACTGCAGTAGCCTTTATCTACTCTATCACATTGTTGATTCACTGAGATTGGAGTAGACTAAAATCTCCATGTCTTTTTTTTTTAAATGAACTGCTTTCAATTTATTCCTCTTCTATCTTGTATTTGTGCTATTATTTTTTAAAGTATAAGAATATGACTTTGTAGTCATTACTATTCATTTTTAAAAATATCTTATTTCTGAAAGATTATTTTATTTAATATGTTTGACCTCTAAACAGCATTTAGTTTGCTAATATAAAAGACTACCTTAAAGGCACTTGTCCAACAGGCATCTCCCATGCAGACATCAAAATAATTTAAGATTCCTTCAAAGGTACAGCAACACATATAAGCCTCTAGACAACTGTCTGATCACTCACTAATAGGCATGAAACAGGGACATAAATCTTCACCAGAGTTATTCACTACTGTTATAAAAGTTGTCCCCCACAGAATCCATATTGAAAAGGGATTATCTATGGATGGTAAGGTCCTCCAGATGCTCCTGTTTTTGCATGACATTGTTCAGTCACCCTAGATTTACAGAAACTCCTAAGTGAGGTCCATATCCACTCAAAACACTTTGATCTAACAATCCTCACAAAAATAACAAGTGGTTAAGGAGGGCTTATTGTACAGATAATGGCATGCAGTTTGAGAGACAATGAGTTTTGTATCCAGAATTAAATAAGAAAATAGCATGCTATATTGATATATTGATGATATATGTGATATATTGCTATATATCTCCTTTGGGAGATTGCAAAACTCCTTTAAAAATACCAAGTGCCTCCCAGAAACAAATAGCCATCCTTTTAATATCAGTATTTATCCTGACATTATATGACTATGAGCCATGAAACATAATCTCTGAAGAACTGAAAATAGATATCAAGAGTGAAGTAAGGGATGTCATCAAAGAAGTTTATGTACGAAAAAGATGAGCTGGTCATGTTGCAAGTATCAGAGCCTAAATGGCAGAGTAGGAAGAAGTTCTGTGAGCTTCCCCCTCCCCCAACTTCTCCACATATATCTAGAAAATGAAGCTGACTGAATCCTAATTGGGAAAGGTTGACATCAGGAGAAAGATGAAAAAGTCTGTGGACACTGGGGATGGGCTTTAGCCAGGAATAGGCCATGTAGAACATTCTGGCTCAGGGAGAGTCTGCATAACAGGACAAGAAGAGGTCCCAGATCTAGCATAGAGGTTCCTAAACTTGTACAGTGTGCAGGAATAGGTTCAAACAGAAGACCTTCATCACTTTACATTTAGACTACTGCAGTAGCCTGCTGGTTGGTCTGTCTGTCACACATCTCTCCTTACTCCATCCATCCTCCATTCTGCCATCAAAGTGATTTTCCTAAAGCACTGCTGTGACCTACCTAACTGCCATACTCAATAAAGTCTAGAGGCTTCCTTTTGCCTCCAGGTTCAAATACAAAATTCTCTATTTGTCATTCAAAGCCCTTCATAACCATCGCCCTCCACCCCCGTTTCAGTCTTCTTATACCTTAAACTTCCCACAAACTCTATATTTCAGTAACATTGGCCTGCTTGCTGCTATTGTTCAAGTAAGACATTCCATCTCTTAACCTGGTTTTCCCCCATACCTGAAATGCTCTCCCTCCCTCTTCATCTCTGCCTGCTGGTTTGCATGGCTTCCTTCAAGTCTCATCTAAAATCTACATCTTCTCCCTCTTAATTTGAATGCCATTTCCCTATTAATTTTTTCCAGTTTATCCTTGTTTTTGTATATTTGTTTTCATTGAAATCCTTGAGGGCAGGGACTTTTTTTTTTTTGTATCCCTAGTGCTGAGTATCAAGTCTGGCTCATAGTATATAAATAATTATTGACTAACTGATCGACTGATTCACTATCCAGTTCAGTCATAGATCCAAGGTGGACTAAGGAGGGGATCTTTGCCAAGGGAAAGACAATCTAGAGTAAGGAAAGGTTCCTGGCCCTTTACTATATACCAAGCAAAGAGGAAATTCAAAAGCGAGCAACAGCTATGTGGTTTGGACCTGGATGTGGACCTGGAAGGGGAGCCAGAACAAAGTTCCAACTTCTAGCCCAATGTGAAGCTGATAGCAGAATGAACAGGACAAGAATCCCAGACCAGAGTGGAACCTGCAGAAGTATCATTCTGAACCAGCTGGCTGGTAGTGGCTGAACCTAACAGGGAAGTCTGCTGGAACTCCAACCAGGGCAAGCCCACAGTCCTATTGCTCCGACTAAAACTCAGGTCAGAGAGCAGAAATCCAGCTTCCTCCTGGATCAGACAACTATGGAAGCATTGAAAGTTTTCAGGTCTGCAGTCTGAGATGTGCCTGAAATCCTTAAAAGCAGTACAGTGGGTAGAGCTGTGGGCCTGGAGTCAGGCGGACCTACATTATAATCCAGCCTCAGACACTGACAAGCTATGAAACTCTGGGCAAGTCATTTCACTTCTGTTTGCCTCAGGTTGCTCAACTGTAAAATGGGGATAATAACAGCACCTACCTCACAGGATTGTTGTAAAGATCAAATGAGATGATATTTGAAAAGCGCTTAGCACAGGGCCAGGCACACAGCAGTCAACATATAAATTCTTATTCCTTTCCTCCTTTCCTGGTACCCCAAGAAAGGAGTAGCAGACCTTCCCTTGAGAAGTGCAAAGAGCCTAGCCCTAACATAAAGTCCAAAGTCAGGAAGAAAGCTTGGAAATATGAGCAAACAAAAAAAAAGAATCCTGCCATAAAAAGCTATTGTGGCAACAGGGACACTCAAACCTATAGTCTAGAAGAAAAGAATGAAACAGCCACAAGCAAAGCCTCAACAAAAAACATTAGTTTGCACACAAATTCAACTAGAACTTCTGGAAGAGATGAAGGAAAGGGTTTGTTTGTTTGTTTTAAGAGTGAAAAATGTCTTTAGAAATTAAATGAGAGTGGAAAGAGCACCAGGCCTGGAGTCAGGAGGGCCTGAGTTCAAATCTGGCCTCAGACACATAACACTTATAGCTGTGTGAATCTGGGCAAATCACTTAACCCCAGTTGCCTCACAAAAAAAAAAAACCCAAACAAACAAACAAAAAATGAAATTAAATGAGAACACTAGAGCAAAAAAAAATTGGAAAGAAAAGAGAGTTATGAAAGAAAAGAATTAGAAAGGGAAATAAGAGCTTAGCACAACTAAGTTTGGAATGATAGGTTGGGTCAAGGTTTAGCAGGACTTAAAAGCTAAATAGAGGCATTTTTGTTTGATCATAGACACATTAGAAAACCACTGGAATTATTGAGGTAGAAAGGGATATTGTCAGATATATATTTAAGGATAATATTTTGGCAGCAGTACGGTGGATTGATTAGAGTGGGAAGAGGCTTGGGCAGGGAGATCAATTAGGAGATTGATGCAATAATTTTGGCAGGAGATGAGCATATTGGAGAGAGTGTTGGACCTGGAGTTAGGAAGAACTGAATTCAAATCCAGCCTCCCATGTTTACTTAGCTATGTGACCCTGAATAAGTCATTTA